AGGATACACGTATGTACACAAAGGGCGCATGAATGCCCGACGCTGACGATTCCGCCATGGGCCGGGCGGGCTGTGCAGAGTGGTGGCGCCGACTGGTACAGACTGACAAAAAGACCATCCACGAAAAACCGCAGATGCGTGGGCGTTCGATTATTGGCTAGGAGTGGTATCGGTCTGGTAATTCCGGTTCAAACGGCATAATCGGGCAGATGCTGGGAGTTGGCAGTGCCTGCAGGATGTGGTTTCCATGCCACCGCGTGCCTGCCCGCTGGTAGGTCGCGGTCAACTCACCGAGGGTCGGGCATTCATCGCGGATGGTTGAAATCGACGTGAGATGTAGTGACCGGAATTTAGACTAACAGTGAGAAGTACATGCGATGGCATTCCTACTTCTCAAACTCGCGTAAGCGCAGAACGTTCTCCTCTATAGGAAGATTACATTTCAAAGTGGTCTCACTGGGCAAATAAAAACTCAAGAACCGCCCTCACCTGGCCGTTTGCATTTTCATCAAACTCGGAGAGTGACTCATCAGTAGGTCAAAATAGCACACAGTCTACAGCACCTGTCAATGCAGTAACATTCGCCGATGCCAAATGAACAACAATATATTTGAAGAACAATATTCCTTCTCGTCCCTCAAAAGAAGTGTCATTCTGACATAATTTGTGGGAAAAAGTTGAGTTCTTAGACGCGGCCAGTGATTATGGCTGATGCCTTGGAAGAACTGTTATTCCTGAGAACAGCCCCGGCGCGCTTACGAAGAGGATCTAGCATAATGCCAGAAAGAGCCGCTCAATGCAAAAGCTTCACTAGTGCTTTATAACCACTGAAAAAAGCGTCATCAGCAGTCCGGTCGTTTCAATCTCCGACAGACTTCCTACACTTGCACAGCCACAAATAGGCTTCAATTGGCCACTTGTTGCATGCCTGATATTCTCAGTTAGGAGATGCCAACTTACAAAGTAAATCATGCTTCCTGTTTGGTAGCAGTCGTTTGTTTCTTGTTTGAAGGTTTTCACCGGTCCAAGCAAGACGAAGTTTCTGTTAGGAGGATCTTCTCGCAAAGTTTGCAACATCTCATGAGGTAGATCACTTATTGCAGTTAAGAGGCAGGTTTGCTCTTCTGCTATTCTCTTAAATTGCAGGTTTGATGAAACTCTTTATGCTCAAAAACCACAAAGTTTGCGCAAACCAGAATTTTAACCCGAAATTTTCGGTCACTCGGCGTTAACTCCGACGTCCTACCTCCTCTTCTCGAGCTATATGCAACCGAAACCGATACCCACGAAACATTCACTGAAGTCTTTGAATGTGCTTCTGGTTACAAGAGAATTAGTCAAATGGAATGACGACTTTGATTAGCATAGGAAGCCATCATTGGAACCTCGCGTTTGAAAGCTCCTACGGAAGAAGGCTCGGTGGTCCATGCAATTCTGATGCACATGCGATGTTTGCATGTCCTGGAAATTCCCCAACTACATGTCATCCACTTTCTTCGAAAAACGATTTATAATAAAGGACACACCCTGAGACTCAGAAAGTGGTGAGATATATTCGGGGTAAGTTACACAGGCTAGAAATATTATCTTCCTTCAACGGGTAAAATCGCAAGAATACGCCTTTCCCAACCGAGGAGTATACGCACTGCCTAAGTAGTTACTCTGTCTTCTAACTTGTCAGCAGTCTTTTCCGCGTAATGACATATCTGAATACTTTCATCACTGAATGGGAGGGTTCGGTGGTGGCTCACCCCAGGCAAAAAAACACCACAAAAGCTGAATGCATCGATCAGACCCGGGGGCCAGAAAACGTATACACAACTGCCAGGAGTGTGGCGGGGTTACCTCGACTCTGGCTAGGTCCGCTCTGAACTGAATATCCGCGGCTTTGAGATGAATTGCCCAGGTGGAGAGAAGACTCAATCGGAGGCTTTGGTCGAAGTAGCCACCGTAGGCCATGAAAGCAGAGGAGAGAAGGCAGTCACCGATGATGGTGGCCATCTGTGACCGGAAAGTCTCAGAACCAGCCTCCCAGCGGGTCCTCTCGCTGCTAAGGGACTTTATCAAGGCCACTGAACGCTCCACCTGTGGGGGGGGAGGGATAAAGGATAGACGCGTTAGACCTGTAATCATGCAACGGTCAACGGCCAAGACAGGCAAAGAGACGGAATCCGACTAACCTTCGCCTCCACGGAGGCCAAGTCCGCCTTGATGGATTGTGCCTGACTGATGAGCACGGCGTACTCATCCTTGTAACGAGCGATACTCTTCTCCAGAGCCGCAATTGTGGTTTCCACGTCTTCTGCTTTCTTCTCGTTCACACCGGCGGCCTCCTCTAGGGCCTTTAGTTCATTACGCAGAGGCTCCACCTTCTTCAGTATATCCGCATAACTAATCTGCAAGGAAAAGATGAAGTAGAAGGCGGATAACAGTGGCCGCCATATAAACAGACGCAGCAGTCAAATCAGTTCCCCCCATCATCGTCACCTGTTGGACTTCTAACCAACAGGTCGCGGGATCGAGTCTCAGGGGCTGCGAAAACTGGGGCTGGGTGCGGTTGGCCGACGACGGCTAATAAGCCAGAAATGGCCATTTCAGATTCAAGGTGCCATGGACCGTTCGCAATAACTCAACTAAGAAATAGGTCCTTATAAAATACGGGGGTCGTCTGTGCACGCGGAGAAAACAGGAGGTCTATTAACTTCGAGGAAAGAATGTCAACTTTATCCTAAATAAAATAATTTGGGCACCTTTGTAGCCGTCCGATTATGCCAACACTGCCGTTTCTCTTAAACTGAGAAACAAGTCGGTTGGAAGGATGAACTGACGGTCATCATAGAACTCGGCTTGACAGAGCCCGTCAAGAGGGAGGCACTTTCGCTCTTGCTACTCTTTGCACGTCGCTGAGGAAGAGAGCAGGTGGAATCCTGCGAATCCATCGCCACGAGTCATTAACTGCAGAGAGCCGTTGTGCGGAGCCAGCCCGAGATCGGCTCGCCCACAGTAGACGGGAGTGGAGGTTTTTTGGACAACCAAACATGCGAAACGGGTGAAATCAGCTGCCAAAGTCAGCGTGAACGACAGCGCAACAAGGGCGTTTTCGAAGGCAAAAACCCTGGAATCAGATGAGTCATCACCTTGTGCCCGAAACTGGGTGTCTCCTGAAAAA